TATTGCCCGCAACACAGGCGTGATTGCCGATCACACGATAGTCACGTGATCGCTAATCACGGCTGTGTCACGGGCTACATCACGGATAATTTAAAAGGAGGTTACCGAAAATAGTGGTTACTGCGCCACTCTCTTTACCCCGCACCTGCGTGGCGAGACTCTGCCGGCACGCGTCCCTGAGCCGAACCGAAAAAAACACGTTCCAATTTCTCGCCCAGAAAAAGAAGCCGAGGAAAACACACCTGCTTCCAGTTGATCACATGGTCATAGTGGTCCAGCAGTTTGCCCTCTGCAAAAAAAAGGCACACACACACACACACACCCCGGGGCCTCCGGCAAAGAACACGACACTACGACTAGACTAGAAAACAAGAAAAAAAAAGACACGGCCTGCTCTGTGGCCAGGAACGCCAGCCTGTTCAACATGAACGCTTTCCACCCCCCCCACCCCACCCCCACTCCACCACCGGCCTCACACCTTCGTTCTGCGGCGCATCCGCCTCCCAGCACACTCCCTCTGCAAAATAAAAAAACGGGAAAGAAAGCGACACTACGCCACCCACCTGCTCCAAACGTGGCACCTCCGAAACCAAAAAAGTCGAGAAAGAAAACGACACTACGCGTTTAGACTAGAGAACAAAAAAAACGCCAAAAAAAAAACGACCTCCTGTGCGGCAACGTCCGCTGCTTCCGCCCCCCCCCCCCCTCCCCCCCCCCCACCCCCCCCTCACCCCACCCCCACCCCACCACCGGCCTCACACCAGCTGGAACAGGCGCCGCAGCCCTTGACGAACGAAAAATGCTCATCCCTCCTCCCTCCCCAACCGTTGCCCCACGACACAAAACAGTGTTGAGAACGGGGCGGCAGCACCGGTGGCGGGCCCGCGTTGCGCCAACCGCCTGGCCCTCTTGGAGAGAATCTGCGCCTCAAAAAGCAAACCTAGCCAGATATCCACAAACCCAAAGTTGAAGAGAGCACCCCCCGGAAAGCGTTCTTCGCGAAGGCACTTTCTGAATTCGAACCAAACTAACCCCCTGACTAGTTTGATCCGAATACGGAGAGTACCTCGCAAAGAACGCCTTCCAAAGGATCCCCCTTCAACGACCATTCGGGCCCCCACGCAGGACTTACAGTGGATCCGGTTGGTTTTGCACAGGACCCACTTCTTGCAGCCCTTCCGCAACGCAACCACCACACACATATATCAACGTCCCTTTGAGACAAATCGCCCCACGCCTGGTTTCCCTCCACCGTCTCGCACGCCTTATGTCCCGGCGGCGGACCCTGCGCCTCACCCGCCTCGGGTACCTGGACCATCACGCCAACAATCACCCACACACACACACACACACACACACACACACACACACACACACACACACACACACACACACACACACACACACACACACACACGCACACACACACACACACACAGCACACACACACACACACACACACACACACACACACACACACACACACACAACACACACACACACACACACCACACACACACACACACAAACACACACACACACACACACACACACACACACACACACACACACACACACACACACACACCACACACACACACACACACACACACACACACACACACACACAACACACACACACACACACACACACACACACAACACACACACACACACAACACACACACACACACACACACACCACACACACACACACACACACACACACACACACACACACAACACACACACACACACACACACACACACACACACACACACACACACACACACACACCCACACACACACGCACGCACGCACGCACGCACACACACACACACACACACACCCAAGGCCCCAACCAAGAGATCCCGCAGTGGTGTTGCAAGGATAAGCTGCCTGCGCCGTACATCCAAGACCTTATGACCAACATCCGTGCGCTGACAAGAGGACCTTCACCAGAACAAAAACATCCGAGTAGACGGCAAAGAACAACCTGAGCCGTCGAGTGTGAAAGTCCCCAGCTCACGGAAAATGGGAACACGACGTTTGCTCAGCACCATTCCCGTCATGCAACGAGGCCAGCACAAGTTTGGATTTTACAGTTTACAGATTTCTTGCAAGGCCGACCGAAAAGAGAGCATTACGTAGAAGCTCCGGGAAGCAACGAGCTGCAGGCCAGAAATGTTAGGCATCGGCGCAAGGTTCTAGGGCTTGGGGCTTCTAGGATTTAGGGTTTAGGGTTTAGGGTTTGGGGAAAAGGGCGAAAAAACACACCTTAGGGTTTAAGGAGTACAGGGTGTTTATGATGGCCCTTCGGGGCGCTCATGCCTTTCAAACCCAACGGAGGTCCTCAGGCTTGACATGATTACTCAGGCCCTAAGCCTAAGCCTAAAAGGGTGTTTAGGGTTTAGGGTTTAGGGTTTAGGGTTCTAAACCTCACCCCTAACCCTAAACCCTTAACCCCAAACATGCAGGGTTCGGCTTGAAGACTTTGGGAGGATTTTTGAGACTTTAGTTAGTGAGGTAGGTTGGAGGGGGAGGGGACCCTGAACCCTAAACCCGGGTTTCTTTGAAGTTGCTTGAGTTAGGGCTCTTCGGTTGTTCAGGGCATCTGGCTTGTCGAGTTTGTTGCGGCAGGAAGCACAGGCCGGGGCCCTTCAGCAAGAGCAGCAAGGGCTTCGGACCAACTTTCGGACCGTATCAGGTCCATGTTAAAGGCTTCTTCCTCGACTACCAAAAGTTTGGGCTTTGGTGTGTGGATGGTGTTGAGCCTTTGAACTTACTTGAAGGTTCATGGATACTGAGAAGTAGGGTTACAAGTATGGTACTTGTACTTATGACCCCACTTAGGACTTCCAAGAATACCTGAAGGCTTCAGAAGAGGCCTCAGGGCATTCCCGGCGCTTGGTACCCTTGCGCATGCTAAGCCGTAGGCTCGACGCCGAACACCCTACGCCCTAAAACTGGCCTTAGGGCTTAGGCCTTAGGGTTCGGGGTTTAGGTTTGAGGTTTTGAGGTTTTGAGGTTTTGAGGTTTTGAGGTTTTGAGGTTTTGAGGGTTTGGGGCTTAGGGTTTAGGGCCCCGCTGCCAAGGCGCGCGAGTCGATCTTAGCGACCTTGCGGCAGCGTTGCAGGTGCTCACCTCGAGACCCAACACCCAAAACCCAAAACCCAAAACCCTAAACCCTAACCCCTAACCCCTAAACCCTAAACCCCAAGCCCTAAGGGCCCTGAGGCAGTCAAAGTCGCGAGGGGCGCTTCGAGGGTTCAGAGCTTTCTTTGGCAGTTCTAGGTGGTTAAGGGCTTTAAGGGCTTTTGAGGGCTTTTAAGGGCTTTAAGGGCTTTAAGGGCTTTAAGGGATTTAAAGGCTTTAAGGGTTTTTAAGGCCTTTGGGGTTATAGGGCTTTAAGGGTTTTAAGGCGCGGCAGCTCTCCCGCAGACTTGAGCCCTGAAGGCTTCGACTTCAGGCTCTGTGTAGCTGTCATTCCCCCGCTAGCATTTAGGGTTCAGGGTTCAGGGTTTAGGGTTTAGGGTTGAGGGTTTGGGGTTTGGGCTTTGGGGGTTTGGGGTTCTCAGAACCCCCTGAGACCATCAATCTCTCCACTCTTACACCCAAAACAAGGCAAAATGTACAAATCTGGGGGAGGGGGTACGAGATTTGGGGGTACCTTATTGGAGGTCCTTATGATAAGGCGAGCCTACTATTTGGGGCTCTTACTCGGGGTCCCTTACTATCGTAAACCCCCCATAACCCTAAACCCTAAACCCTAAACCCTAAACCCTAAACCCTAAACCCCGTGATCACACGAAGCTTGTCAACTCCACTTGCATGGCCAGCCGCTGCTGCAGCAGTTGAAGAGCCAGTCGGCAGCAGCCATTGCACTTACCAAGGTTCGGCGGATAGGTTTAGGGTTTAGGGTTTAGGGTCTAGGGTTTAGGGTTTAGGGTTTAGGGTTTAGGGTTTAGGGTTTAGGGTTTAGGGTTTAGGGTTTAGGGTTTGGGGTTTGGGGTTTAGGGTTTAGGCCTTAGGGTTTAGGGCCTTAGGGTTTAGGGGGTGTTCCTGATTTAAGGGCTTAGAGGGTTTGCGGGCTCAATCATTGAGCAAGTGCTTGGGCCTGCCTACAGCTTGCGGGCCTGGGCTTGTGTCTGCGGACTCCCAAATCCCACTAAAAGTCATGGATGACTCGGGTTCCTAGTCCGGAGCAACTCTTGAAGGGTTTTCGCAAGGGCTCGCGCGCTCAAGGCGAATTGAGGAAAAGTGCTCGTGCCGGGCGACATACACACATTGAGAAAAAACACAATGACTGAGATCAACCTTTGATAGCGCCATACTGCCAGTAGCACACGTCGTATACCCTAAACTTTAAACCCTAAAAGGCCTAAAGACCCTCTAAAGGTCCTAAAGGCCCTAACTGTCCTAAAGGCCCTCTAAACCTCTAAACCTCTAAACCTCTACACCTCTAAACCTCGAAACCTCTAAACCTCTAAACCTCTAAACCTTTAAACCTCTAAACCTCTACACCTCTACACCTCTAAACCTCTAAACCTCTAAACCTCTAAACCTCTAAACCTTTAAACCTCTAAACCTCTAAACCTCTAAGCCCTAAATCCGAAACCCTAAGCCCTAAACCCTAGCCTACTATCGCCTGCGGCCCTCGGGCCATCCAAAACCTAAACCCTAAACCCTAAACCCTAAACCCTGAACCCTAAACCCTGAACCCTAAACCCTAAACCCTAAACCCTGAACCCTGAACCCTAAACCCTAAACCCTAAACCCTAAACCCTAAACTTGAACCTCGCAACTCCCCAAGGCCCGACAGCCGACTCTCGGGTTCTGGGCCCCACAGTAGCCATCCAAAAAGATTCCTAAACCCCTATTCCCCTATTCCCCTAAACCCCAAACCCTAAACCCTAAACCCTAAACCCTAAACCCCTAAACCCCTAAACCCCTAAACCCTAAACCCCAAAACCCTGAACCCATTAGAAAACAAGAGGGCCTATTCTGGGTCCGAGTGTTCCCTCAGCGAGGCAATCTCGCGGCCAAGGCGCTCCACGGACACGAGCTCGATCTCCTTTCTGGCCACCTGGGGTTTAGGGTTTAGGGTTTAGGGTTTGGGATTTAGGGCTTGGGGTTTAGGGTTTAGGGCTAGGGTTTAGGGTTTCTAGGTTTAGCGGCTCCGCAGCTTGACCTCCGGGAGTTTTCAAGAGGGAGGAAAATTTGGCCTCTGCTGCTTAAGGAGCTCTTGGTACCCCCAGTTTAGGGTTTAGGGTTTAGGGTTTAGGGTGTAGGGTTTAGGGCTTTTTGTGACTGGGATGACTATTTCAGGGGCACGTAGTACGTACGTGGCTTCAGGGAGCTTCTCTCTGGTTGCGGCGCTTAGCGGACGGACAATCTTCTACCCGCCTTGAAAAACTTATATTTATATATATATATATATATATATCTATGTATATATATCCACATAATATATATATATATATATATCAAGCCTGATTTAGGGGCCTATTCAAACAGAATGGGCATCTCGGAGCACTTTTTCTTCGAATGTGGCTACAAAGGGGGCCAGGACGCCTAGCGCCAGAATCTCTGGCCGCCCGGGCGGTCATGAAGTGGCGCGTCCGCCATGTACCAAAAAGGCAGGCCAGGAGCCCAAAGCCCTAAACCCTCTAAAGCCCTAAACCCTAAACCCTAAACCCTAAACCCTAAACCCTAAACCCTCTAAAGCCCTAAACCCCCCTCTCAGCCCCCCCTACCAAACCCCTAGAAGCTCCCTAAACCCTCCCAAAGCCCCATTTAAGGGCCCTAAAGCCCGAAATCCAACGCGTTGAAGTGGAAGCGAAGTTAAGGCCCTAGGGTTTAGGGTTTAGGGTTTAGGGTTTGGGGTTTGGGGTTTGGGGTTTAGGGTTTAGGGTTGAAAGCCCTGAGCCCTCAACCCCCTCAACCCTCGAAAGCCCTGAAGCCCTCGACCCCTGCCTCGTCCGAGAGGACTTGAACCTGGCCCCGGAATCTGGGGAGTCAGGTTTAGGGTTTAGGGTTTAGGGTTCAGGGTTCAGGGTTCAGGGTTTAGGGTTTAGGGTGCCTGTTCTGATCAACAAAAAGTGCGACTCCTGGGGGGTTTCAGAGGTTTGTTGTCTGATTTCCTATCCCTAAGGGTCCATGTACCTTGTTGTTGTATACTTGGGCCCCAAAATCCTTATATAGGTAGTACTTTAAGGCCCAAGTATTGCCTATTTAGGTACAAACCCTAACTCTTAGCCTAAACCCGAAACCCAAACAGCCACTTAAGGGCTTTCAGGGCCACGAAGCTTTACACCCTGAGCCTTGAACCCCTAAATCCTAAACCCTAAACTACTAAACCCTAAATTACTAAACCCTAAACCCTAAACCCTAAACTACTAAACCCTAAATTACTAAACCCTAAACCCTAAACCCTACACCCTAAACCCTAAACCCTAAACCTTGGTGCCTCCTTGGCCTTGCGCTCCGACTCCTCTTCGAGCGTGGCCAGGTCTTTGGTGACCTGGCTCGGCCCCAAACCCTCTGTAAACCATCGGGTTTAGGGTTTAGGGTTGAGGGTTAAGGGTTGAGGGTTTAGGGTCGCTGCACGCCCTACCAGGCCCCACATAAACCTCAGATGAGTCTTAGAAGCCCTATAAGCCCGCAAAGCCCTATAAGCCCTATAAGCCCTACCCTATGAGCCCCGACGCCCGAATGCCCAGGCAACTAGTAGATTTGTGGATATCGGGGCTGAGGGCCTAATGCCCTAAACCCCCAAACCCCAAACCATAAACCCTAAACCCTAAAAGGGCTTTCATAAGTCTCCAGGCACGCAGGCCAGCAAGCGAAGTGCAAACAGAAGCTGCTGAGGTTTAGGGTTTAGGGTTTAGGGTTCAGGGTTTTGAGTTTAGGGTTTGGGGTCTAGGGCTTAGGGCAAAATAGCAATAAAACAAAACAAACAGACCGATCTAACCAAGGGAACCCTGAACATCTAAACTCGTACAACGATGAGATCCAAACCCTAAACCCTAAACCCTACACCCTACACCCTAAACCCAAAAGAACGAAGCTTGCACCCATACCTGGCAAGAGCCTCGCCTGATCGAGCTTGCTCTCCTCCGGGTATTGCTCAGCAGTTCAGTGAGGGTTTAGAGTTTAGGATCAGAGTTTAGGGTTTGGGGTTCGGGGTTTAGGGTACCCTAAACCCTGAACCCTAAACCCTAAACCCTAAACCCTACCCCCTAAACCCTGGGGGGGCTGAGGCTTTTGTTGGGTTTTAAAGGCTGGAGAACTGAGAGCTTGAGGGTGCTTTAGGCCTCTGGCCGCGCCGAGAACGCCCTTTGGGACTCGAGGATGGTGTTCCTTCAATGGATAGCGTCAAATAGGGGCATGAATAGTTATAATATTTGTTTTATGTTGATTATTTTGTTTTGTTGTTTCTTTTTTTCTTTTCTCTTTTTTTTTTGGGGGGGGGGGGGGGGTAGTATATTTTTTTTCGGGACCAAATGGGAATAACTACATTAGTAACCCCAAGAGCAGTGGACTTTCGTCTCTGTGGGGGATGGTTTAGGGTTTGAGGTGCCTGTCGAATTCGGAGGGCCTGGATCCCACGCGCAACCTGAACCCTACAACCCCTTAGGAAACCAGGGGCTCAATCAAGGTACTCCATAAGCGAACCTGATGCGTGAAAACGTGGCCTCAGCACTGAACCCGAGAAACTGAACCCTAATTCCTAGGCCCTAAAACCCGACTAAACAACATGATTCCTGAACCCCCTTAAGCCCTGAATGTGGGGCTGATGTGTCCTTGTTCTTTTGGGTACAGGGGTTAAGGGCTTCTAGAGGTTGCGAGGCTAAGCGTTAATAGGGTTTGAGGCTTGAAGGTATAGGGCTTAAGGGCTTAAGGATGTTAAAGGTCTGGGGTTTAGGGTTTGCCGTTTGAGCTTTGGGGGCAGCCACAGTCAAAGTACCGCTTGCAAGGAAGCGTAAAGCAAACTCGAAAAGCGTACAGCAACCCTACAAAACCCTAGAGCCCAGAAGGCTATGGGAGACAGGTCTGGTTGATTCGGAGTATTTTTCGCCAGCGCACGTGAGGCCTTCTCGCGGAGCTGATGTAGCTGCTCATGGCCACCAAACTCCACCCGATGCGCAGGCAGCGCCTTGACACCTCGGCACTAGGCGACTTGGAGAATATGCCGAATCCTGAAACCCTGGTAGTAGTAGTAGTAGTAGTAGTAGTAGTAGTAGTAGTAGTAGTAGTAGTAGTAGTAGTAGTAGTAGTAGTAGTAGTAGTAGTAGTAGTAGTAGTAGTAGCAGGTCAAGCTCGAAACCCGGATGGGTTTAGGGTTTAGGATGTAAAGGGTGAACGGTTTAGGGTTTGGGGTTCAGGGGCCCCTAAGCACTCGAGGGCGATTCAACATGTGGGAGTTCCATCGAAGTCAGATGATCGGTAGGGCGTGTGCAAGGGGTCGGGTAGGGTTCTTAAGTGTTCGGCGGTTTTTCTGAAACCCTAAACCCTAAACCCTAAACCCTAAACCCTAAACCCGGAGGGCAGCCAATGAACTCATCAAGAAGCCAGCCCTGCAAGAGCTTTGAACCCTGAACCAAGTTCTCGGCAACCCAACGTCCTACAGGAGTCCGAAACCCTAAACGCTAAACCCTAAACCCTGAACCCTAAACCCTGAACCCTAAACCCTGAACCCTAAACCCTAAACCCTAAACCCGATCCAAAAGGAAGCGCAAGAAAAAACAACAGGGCACCATCGGGATCCTTTAGGAGTCCCGGAATATCGTAGCGACCAGCTCTTCGACTGCGAGCCCACCACAACTTCTGCAAAAGGGTTTAGGGTTTAGGGCTCAGGGTTCCGGGTTTTAGGGTTTTAGGGTTTTAGGGCTCAGGGTTCAGGGCTTAGGGTTTCAGGTTTAGGGCTTAGGGTAGGATTTGGAAGGTTTAGGGTTTGTAAGGTGTAGGATTTAGGGCTCAAGGTTTAGGGTTTTATGGCTTAGGACTTAGGGTTAAGGTTTCGGGCCTGCTGTCAAAGGTCTTGGGACTTGTAGGCACTGGCCGCGGGGGGGGGAGCCTCAACAGGGCTTAGTTCCTTCATACGGATAGTCAACCCCCTAAACCCTAAACCGTAAACCCTAAACCCTAAACCCAAAACCTACAAGAAACAATTGGCCGGGCCTCCCTTTTCGGGGCCTTCAAAAAATCACTAAAGTTATAGAGGGTGGAGTTCAGCCGTTTCCAAGACCTGAAACTCAGACTAAGCTAAAACTCCCCTAAACCCTCAATCTCGTATTGCAATTCCCAACAGCTGCAGGGTTACCCTAAACCCTAAACCCTAAACCCTAAACCCTAAACCCTAAACCGGGGGGGGGGGGGGCATTTGCCACGGCGGAGCCCTCGGAAAAGAATGCCGGAACGCAACGGAACGGAACTTGATCACTCTTGTCTTGCTGGCTCTTGGGTTGCACAGATGGGTTTAGGGTTTAGGGTTTAGGGTTATAAGACTCAGTAAGAAGCCGTAAGTTGAAAACTGCCGCTTTCGGGCTTGCAGGCCGCATCTTCGGAACCCGAGACCCCCTCCAAATGAGAAGATCCGCCCCCGGATCTATTAGGGGGAAGGGATTATCGGATTTAGGGTCTGAGTTGGGTGGGGGGGGGGGAGGTTGGAGCTTGAAGGTTTGGGGGGGGGGGGGGGGGGGACCACGCTAAACCCTAGAGCCTCTCGAGCCTGAACCCCAAACCCGAGGCAGCGGCTCATGTTTCCATTGGGCGCGATCACTTCGCCGTCCAACGTCACAACGCGAGGCCTAGTGCGCCGGGAAGTCTGGGGGGACCAAATGAAAAACACAAATTCGAGCGATGTACCCTATACCCTATACTACTATAAGTCGTAGCAAAACCCTTTCTAGGTCCCCAATATCTGGGGAAGTTGCCAAATCGGGTGTTTAGTTTGGGGTATAGAGGGTATGCGGAGTAGGGTCGGTTGGGGGGTGGGTGTTTTTGCTGTAGGACGGTCCCTTCTATTTGGGGTCTGCCCATTATAAAGGGACCCGAATTTGGGAAATTGGCAATGAGCCTAAACCCTAAACCCTAAACCCTAAACCCTGAACCCGAAACCCTGAACCCTGAACCCCGAACCCTAAATCCTAAACTCCAAACCCCAAGCCCTAAACCCCAAAGCCCTAAACCCCAAAGCCCTAAACCCTAAACCCTAAACCCACACGACGTACCTTAGGCTCCGACATGAGGGACTTCTTTTTCGCATCAACGTAAGACGTCTGCTTAGCCTCGTGGGTCGGTGTGATTAAAAAAAAAGGTAGGCCCTTGTTCGTGAAATATGGCCCGTAGGGTTTAGGGTTTAGGGTTTAGGGTTTAGGGTTTAGGGTTTAGGGTTTAGGGATTAGGGTTTAAGGTTTAGGGTTGAGGGCTTAGCGCTTAGGGTTTAGGGTTTAGGGTTAGCGTCCGTATGGTCCAGGGCACGACAACCCATGACCCTCTCGTGAAGACTTGCTCGTTGCGGACATGTCCTTACAACCAGCAGAAACACACCACAAGGGCCAACAACTTGTTATTGTATACTTGGGCCCCAACATCCTTATATAGGAAGTACTTTAAGGCCCAAGTATTGCCTATTTAGGTACATGGACCCTTAGGGTACATTGTAAGCACCTGTGCGTGAAGCCGCCCCCTGACATGCTGCGAAGATTGTGCATTTCGGCTTCGTGCAGAAAGGCTGTTGACTTCCGCTTGGCCTGCAGACTTTTGTCTGCTTCTGCAAATGGAGAGGGGAAGGCCCTAAACCCTAAACCCTAAACCCTAAACCCTAAACCCTAAACCTAAACCCTAAACCCTAAACCCTAAACCCTCAGGATCAGCCCGTTGTTCGCACGCAGTGCGACCAACCCCAGCCTGGTCCAGAGTGTCCGTGATGATGACGCCCTGGAGCAGGAAGGTGACTGTCCTGGCACTCAAGAACAGGGAGTTCCAGGGTTGCAGGGGTTTAGGGTTTAGGGTTTAGGGTTTAGGTTCAGGGTTCAGGGTTCAGGGTTCAAAATTCATGGCTTAGGGTTGAGGGTTGTTGCGAACTCCTCAACATCAACACTCCAATGAACGACTGGGATACCCTCGTTGGAGTTTGGCGATTTAGGGTCTATAGGGTTTGAGGTTTAGGGTTTAGCAATCAGGGTTGGCGGCTTGAGGTTGAGAGTTTAGGGGTCTAGTAGTAGGTTCAAGAGTGCCTTTCAACTACTCCTTGGTTTTGGTTCGATCCACATTGCGACCTGTAGGAAAAAGGCTTTGCAGTACTTGGGCTTGTTTAATCTACATCACGGGCCCTTGTGTTTTGGAAGTATCCATGTACATTCCGTGTCTTGTGGTACATGTGCACCAAGGAAAGCGTAATGTCGATCGACCCTCAACCCTAAACCCTAAACCCAAAACCCTAAACCCAAAACCCAAAACCCTAAACTCTTAGGCTCTTAGGGTTTCGGGCTGATAGCTACGCTGGACCCTGCCACCCCCAAGCGCCCCTTTCACCAAGGCAGGGATAGGGGCGTGTTCGCCCGGCTGTCGCGAAGTGGGACCCCGAGCCCTAAACCTGGACCCGAAAGCCCTAAAGACCCTAAACCCCGAAAACCCCAGCCCTAAAACCCCAAAACCCTAAAAACCCTAGATCCATCAAATCCTGACCCCAAAAACCCTAAAAACCCTAAAAACCCTAAAAACCCTAAAAACCCTAAAAACCCTAAAAACCCTAAAAAACCCTAAAAAAAACCCATATAAGCAAAAACCGTAAAGTCCTCACCCCTAGACTCCCCTAAAGCCACCGAAGAACCCTCAGGCCATGCCTGCCTCAAGCGACTGAGTCCCGGACCCTGCAACCCAAAACCTTAAAGATAATAATAACAATAAGAATAATGACAATAATGAGAATAAGAATGATAATAATACTAGCAATATTAATGAGAATATAGTAATAATAACGAGAATAATAATATGATTAATAATCATAATGAGAACCCTGCAAGCCCTTATCTCAGGGTTTAGGGCTCAGGCTTTAGGGTTTAGGGTAGAATCACCTGAAGCCGTAAAACCCTAGAAAAAAAAAAAAAAAAAAAAAAAAAAAAAAAAAAAAAAGGAACCAACCACTGATGCACTAGCTTCTGGCAGATAGCCGGCAAAGATCAGTCAGACAGGGTTGAAGGACCCATGAACCCCACCCTGCGCATTGGCAACTTTAGGACAGGCATCTCCCCCAAACCCCTAAACCCTAAACCCCTGTCACGCCTTGAGACCCTAACAAGCGTCTTTCCTTCCAACCATTTCGACTGGTAGCCCAGTAAGCATACTGTAACAACCTAAACCCTAAACCTTACACCATTAACCCTTAACTCTAAGTGCTTGGGGTTTAGGGTGGTTGGGTTTCCGCTTGACAGCACGCAAGGCCGGACAAAACCGAAACCCTGAGCGCCCTAAGCATCCTAGACCCTAAACCCTAAACATCCTGGACCCTCTACCCTACAAGCCCGACACCCTAAACACCCCAAACCCTCCCCCTACTGCATTGCTTTCACTTGGCAGCCCTCAACCCTGCTCAGGGTCCTCAATCCCTAAAGCCTAAACCCTAAAACTCTCGAAGCGCCGTGTGTTGCACACAGCTGGTGCCCCGAGGGGGCGCTGCCGAAGACAAGGAGGGGCCGATGTGCGTTGGATTTAGGGGTTAGGATTTGAATTTAGGATTTAGGGTTTAGGGTTTAGGGTGTAGGGTTCAAATTTAGGGCTTGGGGTTTAGGATTTCCGGTTGGGTTTTAAGAATTAAGTTTCAAGGTTTAAGGCTAGGATTAAGGGTTTGGAGTTTCAAGGTCTGGTTTTAGGGCGATGGCTTCTTGAGGTTTAGGGTTTCGGGCGCCAGGATCCTCAGTGTTGCGGTATAGACGTAGGGCATAGGATTCAAGGTTTGAATGTGACTGTTGAGAGTTTTCGCGGTTTACTCTGGGTTCTCAAGGACTGGGGCATTAACGGTTGAGGGGCTTGTGAATTTTGCAGTTCAGTCGGCTTAACCTAAGTCCTAACCCTAAACCCTAAACCCTAAACCCTAAACCCTAAACCCTAAACCCTAAACCCCAAACCCACACTTTGGGAGATTTCAACGGCCCCTCCCAAGAGCGCAAGGCAGTAGGTCGGTTGCCGTGAGGGGATTAGGGTGTAGGATTCAGAGTTTAGGGTTTAGGGTTTAGGGTTTAGGGTTTAGGGTTTAGGGTTTAGGGTTTAGGGTGTAGGATTCAGAGTTTAGGGTTTAGGGTTTAGGGTTTAGGGTGTCGGATTCAGAGTTTAGGAATTTGGGCTGGTTAGGATTCAGGGGCAGGGTCCCTTTAGGCTGCCTGAGCTTAGGATTTCATGTAGACGTTCACGATCTCGGCCGCTTTAAGGACAGTGATCTAGGGCTCTTGAGGCGTTCAAGGATTTCTGGGGCCAGATTCGGGAGGGGAGCACGTTTAGAGACGGGGATACCAACTATGGACCGAAAATGTAGCGTCTTGCAACAGAATGCCTTTGCGTCGCAGGAATCCGATGTAAGGTCCCTAGCCTGGGGAGGGCTCCAATCAATTTTGGGGCAGATGATGGGACACTGTATCGGCTTCAACCAGCTGTGCAGACGGGGAAAAGCAGAAGTGGCTTCCTGCACCCTGCGAAAAGCACAGCACTGCACATGCCCTGCATTGTCTTCGCCAGAGCTGCAAAAATCGGCTAGGAACCCAAGCACATCCCCCCGCAAAGCTTCTTCTCATCCTCGAAGTACTTGCACTTCTCGAAGCCCTCGAAATAAATCGAGTCTCCTCGGAGGTCCACGCGGGGAACCCGCTGCCTCTTCGCAGGGTTCTCGCCGGCCTCCACATGGCAGAAAGGGGATTGCGAAGTGTGATTGATAGGGTTCTCAAGGGAGGGGGGTGCAAGGGGGGTATGTAACCCAAGGTTCCCTAAAACTCCCCAACTCCCTAAGGCTCCCTAAGCTTCACTAAGGCTAAGGTTTTCTAGGTACCTACCCCCTCCCATGAACCGCCCCCCCTTCCAGAAACCCATAAGTGATGAGGGGGAGGGGGGGGTAGGGGGGGGGGAGGGGGGGGGAGGGGGGGGGGGGGGGAGGGGGGGGAGGGGGGCGGGGGGAGGGTGGGAGGGTGATTCGAAAGACGTCAAGTCTTCTCTCACTTGTAAGAAGGAGGAGGAGTCCCAGAGAGATTTCCAGACAACTAGGCCACTTTTTTTGCTTGGTTTTTTGTGGGGGTTGCTATAATGGTATGATCAGGATTCTCGGGTATAGTATTTGGGTACATAATCTCGAGTTTCAATTAAATTAAACGGCATGATCAACCACCTCAAATGAGTCAACTCACTGAATGAATTTCACCCTTATTACGACCAATTAGACTTCCTAATTTGCTACAGGAATGAGGCATACATGTTGGGAAACCTGACGTAATGGCTTCATTTAAGCGCCAATTAAATTGGCTAAATTGTTGTCAATCATTTCGCTGACATTACCTGAATTAAAGTACAAAAGTTCACCTAGTTTGCTGAAGGGTTCAACAAATATCTAAATTAGCAACCCTTAACTAAATGAATTCAACGAACTAAGCTAACTAAATCATGGTGCTTTAACAAATAGATGAGTTAGTTTGGTTAGTTTATTGATGCCGAAATGGAAGAATTGCATAGGCCTGTCCAAGACTTAGACACTTAGCTAACTTTCATGATCTGAGAAGAAAGTAAACACAAACTCTAACTATCCTTTGCATAATCCAGCCTTAACCAGACTAAACGAATGATGAGTGTAAAGTTAATGAGGTTAAATGGTGTTTTCAACCACCTCAAATTAGTCAGTTCAACCGAAATTGGCTAACCCTACTTAGGCTAATTAAACTTTGATTATGTGATTACATTAAACAAAACATAGTAGTTAGGAAGCCTGACCTAATTACGGTATATAAGCGCTAAACAACGTAGCCAACTGATTTTCATTGCTTTCGTTAACAAATAACGTGCTCGAGTTAGCTAAAGGATTTTGCTTGGCGAAAAGAACTGAATACAAGTACTTTCCAAGGCTTAAAGACTTTACTGAAGGGTAAAAAAACTCACTTCATTATTTGACCATTTCACCAAACGAAATCAATACACACTAAGCTAACTAGATCACTGTCCTTAAACAATACTTGAGTTAAGGCTGGTTAGTTTATGTGATGCTTAAATGGAGAGTGACATCCAAGAATTAGGTTAACTTTCTTAATCTGACAGTCAAATAAATGCATTGGGCTAACTGAATTCGATCCTTTGTTTCATCAACCTGAACCAGACTGGATGACTGATGAGTGTAAAGTTAATGAGGCTTAGTCGTGTTTTCAACCGCCTCAAACTAGTCAGTTCAATGAATCTTGTTGAGCGCTGATTAACTTAGCCAAAGATTTTCTGTCTTCGTCATATAACGAACCGCGGTCAATTTGACTAAGGTCTTGTTTGTTGAAAGTAGCAAAATCACAGAACTACCAGTACCTAGTTTAATGAGGTGTTGAAAGTAGCAAAAACCCTTCGCCGGCTTCTGGAAGGTAGCGACCTCCGTTTGTCCCTGAAGAAAACAGGCTTCCTGTGCACCACTGCAGAAGCCAGAAGGGAGCTACAGAAGCTGCGCAAAGATGGGGACCCGGCTATCTGTGATAGCATGAAGGATTTAGGCCTGGACTGTGCCCTGGGTCGGGTCCGGAGGGTCAAGGTGCAAAGAGCCCGCAGGCACAAAGCGGGCCAACGGCAGAAGAAGTTGAAACAACTGAGAGTCCCGGGTGTGCCGGCCAAGGTTCGCCTCTTCAGAGGAGGGGTTGCCTCCGTCCTTACTTGGGGCCACCAAGCCCAGGGAATGCCGCCCACCCGGAGACAGAAGCTCCGGACTGCCTTGGCTGAGCAGTGTGGCAGACA